TGAAGCAATTTTTGCCAGATCAAATTCCCCATTCAATTAATAACACCCCTATTCTTGATTTTGTGTAAAAATAAAAAAAAAGAAATGAATGAAAAAAATCTTTAAAAGACAAAGAGATGCAAAGCAAAGCAAAAAAAAATTATCCAAATAGCTTTAGTGTTGTTTAATTTGAGTTGTTCCGTTAGATTAGTTCCAATAACTGCAACGTAAAATAGCAATTGTCTGCTTTTATTACTTTCATCTTCACTTTTTTTTGCTGCTGATTAAGACAATCGTAAAAATAAACTTTTTTTTTTTTTGCATTAATTTCTTTATTATCTTCTTTTTTACTTAATTCTCTTTTTATTTGGCCTTTTTTTTTACGACAATATCAAACTAAGCCGTTGATTTTCGATAATGATGATGATGAAAATCATAACTACTGAATAGATTTGCAAATTTTAGTCGTCAGAAGACGGTGATGAAGCGAAAAGAAGAAAATGATAATGCTGAAGTCTAAACGAACAGTTTCCAATAAAACAGAATCGTCATCCTCATCACCAGTGCAATACAATTATCGTTAACAGTCCGCTGTTGCTCTTTTATGCTGTTAGTAATCTGTTCACCAGGTAAAACTGCCACTGTAAAACATCATTCTAATCGCTGCGTTCCTTCACCTACAACGCCTGCAACATCTGTACTTCTTCAACTGCAGAGCTTCTGTGGTTTTTAGGAAAAATATGGTCAAGATCTGGAATTTTATTGAGATGTCAAAATTGTAAAGCGATTTTATTCTCTTTTTCTTTTTGTTCCAAGATTTTTACAGTAGTATGTAAAAAAATAAATGAAAGTTTGAAATTTTACTGTTATAGTTGGTTTCTTCAGTTCAAATGGCCAACAGTTTTTGTTGGATAATAAACAGTTATTGTATTTAGGAAGGCTCTTTTTAAGCTTATTTGCAGCTTTAGAAAATTTAATTACATTAAATATTTATACATAATGTGAGCAGTTAGACGTGTTTGTTTGAGTGCTTGTTTCTCCACTTGCCAATGGATCGACCGTTGATGTGAGTATCTCAGTATATTTGTGTGTGTGTGTGTGTGTAACTGTTTCAGAGGAGTGACAGTAATCACAGGTCAGGTTGCAGTAAAAAGAAAAAATATTAAATTTTTCTTATTCACTTGTCATGGTTTTTAGAAGGACGGGTAAACTGGTTCCACTAACATTAGCGGAAACTTCTAGTTTTGTTGGCATGCATTTTTTCTAAGCATTTATCCTCAATTTTTCAAGTGTATATACCAATATTTATACATATCTGTTCTTCATAATTTTACTGACTTTATTTTCAGACTGATAGTTTTACTTTTTCTCTTAGTTTTTTTTTTTTTTTCTTTGTATATTCAACGATGATATACATAAGTAGCAATTATCACATTCAATCAGCCAATTAGTCGGCAAACAGTTAACGAACTAGTCGACAGAATATGATTGGAAATATAATTTGTAAACTGAAGGAAGAGTCAGAAAAACAAGAAAAAAAGATGAAGAAAAACTTAATAACTGCATTTTTTCTTTAATTAAGAGAACACGATTGTCTGTTAATAATTCTTTTTTTTCTTGCTAATTAGTCTCTTAGTCATTTCTTAATTTTCTTAATTTATCTGTCCATATTTTGGGTTTTTTTTGTTTATCAACTCATTCATCCAATCGCTCATCCATCTATTTGCTCTTCCAGTCCGGTATTTTGTTGTAAAAATTAGTTATGGTTGTCACTAATGAGAATGGATTTGTATGTTTATTTTTTAATCTTACAATCATTTTGTTGGATAAATTGTAAATTTGAAAAAGAAAAAAGTTTCAGTTATTATGTAATTTTTCGATTTATCCACAGGATCGTTTGATGGATATTTATTGAAATGAGGCAAAGTGAAGCGGAGTAAGGACAACAAAAAAGATTTTTTTCAAACTGCTGTGCACTAATACTGGTAAGTTAATCGTTTATTTGGACTACATTTTTGTCGTTAACATCTTTTGATTAGCTAAAATTTGTTGACATTTGTTTGTACTTAGCGGACAAAATATAGCTTTCCTTTTTGAGCACAAAAGAAGTCCATTTATAGAAAAAAGAACATGTATATCGCTTTTAAAATTGAAGCAGACGTAAACGGAAATTATCAAACGTTCAGTTTTATGATTCATTTCAATGGAAAAATTATAGTGCTCCAAAAATTACCATCACTTTCTTTCACTGTATATTAACCAGACGTTGTCTTCATGCATTTTTGTTTTAGTCAGCATGAAGCGCTATTAATGTCCTGCGAACATTTAAATTTTCCGTTTTTTTTTTCTTCTCATTTTATCACTGTTGTCAATGCCTTAAAATTATGGGTTTTGACGTCAACAAATAATTAGGGTAAGGTTTTTACTGGAAAATCAAAACGACAATATTGGGGGCATATTGTTCGCTGATTGTCCTTCATTTGTTTTACTGAAATTGTGTACCTAAATTTGACAGCAGTTGAATAAATGCAATTTCGGTCAAAGAAATTTCAGGCTTTCCTTCCTGTCATTAAGAACACCAGAAGTATAGTTTAGAATGCGGTATATTGAGTTTCAGCTTTTTGCTTTTAGTTTTATTTATTTATTTATTTATTTATTTTTTTGTGCTAACCTTGCTTGTTCAACAGCACTCTGTCAGTGAAAGTTTCTCCAATTTTTACTCTATATTCAACTAACCATTCATCCATACATAACTCATCTGTTTTTCCTAAATAATAACAACAAGCATAAATAGCACGCGAAAAAAAAAATGACAGCAATAATAATAGTAATAATAATACCACGACCATCACGAACAACAACAATAGCAAAAGTATGAGCAAGACAAAACTAAAAGTTCATAAATAAATTTTTGATTTTTCTGCTGTTCTTTTTCCCCGTATGAAAACAACCATTTGGTTATTTTTAAAGGACAGTATTTGCTTTTTTTCTTTCGGAATTTTATACGCCTATACTTGGTGCACGAAAATCGCTTTTCTCCAATGTTACATGCAGAGTTACGTCAGGCAACATTATTTTTGAGGTAATCAACAAAAACCTAGCAGAAAACAAAGAATAAGAAAGCCTATTGATATTTTTCAATATACATCTGCACATAGACAAAGCATGCACCAAAAAGCTCACCTCTGTTCCCCTTCATCTCCCCTACCACCCCCTAATAAATTCAAATAAAACCAATAAACGTTCCCTAACAATCATTTTTTTTTTAAATGCCCTTCTGTTGTGTTAACAAATGAAACCGGACGAGCCGATACCATTGCTTTAGTTGGAGGATACGCATTGAGGAAGGAAATTTAGGGGCAATTCAAAAACGGGCGGCGGCACGAAACCATAAAACACTTTTTGAGTAGTCGTCGGCAAAAAATATACTGGGCAAACCAGAAACAAATCATATAGGTAAGTTAAGTATTGTAAACTTTGTTGTTTAAATCAGTTTTACTAGTTTTTCTTTTCTTTTTTTTTTCTTTTTTTTTTTTCTGGAAACTTTGTGCTTTGAGAACAAAAATTTCTTTTTTTTTTTCTTTAAACATATTTTCACAAATAATGAAGAAAAAATACTTTGTGGAAAAGAAGCGTATAGGAAGCATCTAAAAAAAGAGGGAAGGAAATAAGCTTTTTCACCTTAATTGAGACTTTTTTTTGAAGGATTTGGTCTGATCAGTTGAAAGGGAAAGACAAAAAATAAAAAGTATTTGTTTAACGAAGTGGATGAAAAATAACGAAGAAAAGAGTAATAAAAAATAAACTACAAAGGAGCAAGAAAAAAAACAATTTTTATTATTTTGCTTCAAATTATTTTCTCTTTTATTTTATCAATGAGTTTCTTTTTTTTTCTTTGAAAAAAAAAAAAAAAAAA